TCATAGGGTAGCCATATAAGGACTCAAGTACCTCTTTTATGATAGCACTATAAGGACCCAAGTACACCACCTAGGACAGCCATATGAGGACTCGAGTACATCACCTAGGATAGCCATATGAGGACCCGAGTACCTCCGCTATGGTAGCTATATGAGGACCCAAGAACTGGGCATGATCGTTTCTTATCTATGGCACAAACACTTTAACTTTAACATTTTTTTTAAAGTTAACGTGTTAACATTTTTACTTTAATTAGTTTAAAGTTTTAAAGTGTTTTACTTTAACTTTAACTTTTAAAGTAAAGTTAAAGTGCCATCTCTATTCTACATGACAACCATCAATAACTTCAAAATCTCTCAATTTAATTGCAGTGAGTATAGCAAATAAGTTTTATACCTTTGGTGACTGAATGGTTTACGTAAGGAGCTTCATTCGTACTCAGCAAGCTATGCCTATCGTGATTATAGTATCCTTACAACAAGTAACGTTCGTCGGTTCAACTCACTTGACCCTCGACTGTATAAGACAGAAGTGTATTTCACATGTGTCCATATCGAAAGGATTGATCTAACAGCTTTATCGCAATAACTGACTCAAATTTCAATTTCTTAAATCGTAAAAGTTGAAGAAACTGCTCGTCCTTGTTGTAAAATAATTGAAAATAAACCTTACTTTTCAGTAAGGGATTGTAAACCTAGCAATTCTTTGTCAAAATGCACTTTAACTACTAAATACCTGTTTCATCTTTGATTCTCACACAGACAGACACAAAAATTTATTTTATTTCATATAAGCCTTCCTATAGCCGAGGAAATATCATTATCTCAAAAACACTTTTTTCCTGATCCTAAAAGTTCAACTCAAAATTCTGAGAAACTGACTTCAGACTCGGATTCGCCAACCGCGATTTACTTTCGTCAACCTTTATAAGCTATCGTTATTTTTCCAAAAAACTCTTTTCTTGACCCTAAAAACTCAACTCAAAATTTTGAGAAACTGATTTCAGATTCGGATTCATCGACTCCAATTTACTGTCGTCAACCTTTACTTCCAGCCTGCAAAAAGCTGACCGGTTGAAAGCCCAATATAAAAACCTCTGATTGGCCGAAATCTTAGGATGAAAAAACTTGACTGGCATTAGTCCTAATATGAAAAAACCCGATCCGTCGAAATTTCGATGTAGTCATATTTCATCATGTTTTATTGACTCTTGACCTTTGACTCTGACACAAACAAACTGATTTTATTTCATATGGCACTCCCTACAGTCGAGGGAATAAATAGAGCAAAAGTTTCCGTGGAAATCGTTGACATCAATGAGCCAGTAGAACATTATTATATTCCCATATAAAATGTCTTGATACTCAATTTAGAAATATTAATTTCATCTCTGGCACTAGAGCAGGTGGCCTTATATGTAAGTCCTTATCAGATGAAATATAAGATTAAGCTTTTCTTTTTCGCCAGCTCGTCAACATTTTTTCTGTTCGAAAAAGAGACTTTGTGAAATTTTCCGCTCACATGTTTTAAAAATCATTTTTTCTTTCAGATATGTACTACTATCTAACTGACTGCGTAAACCTACAGATTATACAGTCTAGTAATTGTCTTCTCGATAATTTCAGTCAAGCTAGCAAATATCGTCCGGATCTTCCTGAACATTTGTATGTCATTCCAACAGCTGGATGGGACTGCTATTGGACTATTTCATTCTAATGAGCATCATGTATCCGTCTGCTTAAATTTGCCAGCCTAAATTTATGAGACTGCCTCAATCGAATTGGCTTAATTCCCAGTGCCTCAAAATCTGATTGGCTAAATTTTGTAGCGCCTCGACATCTGATTGGCTGAATTCCCAATCCCTCAAAACCTGATTGGCTTAATTTCCAAGCCCCTGGAAATCTGATTGGTTGGATTCCCAGCCCCTCGAAATCTGATTGGTTGGATTCTCAGCCCCTCGAAATCTGATTGGCTGAATTTCCTGTCCCTTAAAACCTGATTCGCTTAATTTCCAAGCCCCTCGAAATCTGATTGGTTGAATTCCCAAGCTCGTCGAAATCGGATTGGTTGAACTCCCAGCTCCTGGAAATCTGATTGGCTGAATTTCCAGTCCATTAAAACCTGATTGACTCAATTTCATAGCCCCTTGAAATCTGATTGGTTGAATTCCCAGCCCCTTAAAACCTAATTGGCTGAAATCCAAGCCTCTCAAAACGTGATTGTTCCTGAGATGTATAGAGCAAATATCTGATCGGCCATTGATGTTTTTTTGACCCTGACACAAACACACCCACACACAAACTATTTTTTTTCATATGACCCTCCCTACAGTCGAGGGAAAATCCAATTTTAGTCCTGGTCATGTTTTATTAGTTCTTTCTTTCGGAAACACAACCTCCGATATTGAACCAATGTTGGAAATACAACTTACATCTCAGTTGCCAGTTTAGGGACCAACCTTAATAGACTTTAAATAGTTATGAAGACTGCCTCCAGAGAACCCTTGAAAGATTATAGGGATTCCGTTAGTATTTTTTAAATGAAGTTTTCTTTGATACAAAAATCAAAATAAAATAGTATTTTTTTCATATCAATCACTTAATCACTTAATATTAATTAATTAAGTGTTAAATTGAAAAACTTAATTTTAATATTAAGTGTTAAGTGGTTCACTTAATTTTAATATTAAAATTAAGTCACTCACTTAATTTTAATATTAAAATTAAGTTTTTATTTTGATCACTTAATTTTAATATTAAGTGTTAAGTCATTCACTTAATTTTAATATTAAAATTAAGTGAACCACTTAACACTTAATATTAAGTGATTAAGTGTTAAGCACAAAAACTTAACACTTAATATTAAGTGTTAAGTGAGTCACTTAATTAAGTTTTTTAATTAAGTTGTGTTAAAAAAAATGTGCCACCCCTAGTGTAAATGTATATAGTTTTTAATTATTGTCATCATATCAATGATACGTTTGAGACGATCAAGTTTAAGAACATGATTAAGTAATTGAGAAAGATCAGTTGCTGTTATACATAATTTTTTTTCTAAATTATTTTGTACATGATGTTTTTTTACTAAGGCAGTTTCTTGTGATTTAGAAATTTCCATAAATTTATTTACCTAAATAAGAAGTGATTATAAGACTTCATTGAATTATTTCTTGGTTTATGAATTCCAATCATAAACACTAGACAATTTACAGAGACTGGATGCATATATTTTCTTCTAATAAGCCTGATACTTTTTCATTATTCTGTAAATATGCAACCATAGAGCACATTCGATACATCTCACAAGCATCTACATAGGGCATACCAAAAGTAGTGAGAGTGACACTTTAGCACCAGATAGTACACTTAAAGAAACTTTCTTTCTGTGTAGTCTGATAGAGAAAAAAAAGCTCTATCTTTCTATGCGATTTAATGATGCTTCAACTAATATCATAATACTAAAATTTCGATGACATGTGTTTCGTTATCATATGTGCTGGTTGTATTAATACTCATTTTAAAAAATACAAGTGACTATTTTTTGAATAACTTTTGATAAAAACAAGATAGAGTACTTCGGTTTTTACCGTTGGAAAGAGGAGATAAAGATGCATTGAGTCATGTATCCCAGTTTTTCCTGATCTGTTTTTTGTAAGTTTTTCAATTGATCGTTTCAAAAACAAACCTATCTGGTATGTTTTTTTACAATGAATTTCTAATTATCAAGTATAAATTCAAGCCACTAATCCAAGATCTAAAAGGTTCGGAACGCTAAGATAAATATTATGCATTCTTGTCAAACCTCTAATACGATTTTGTAGTAAAATCTGTGAAGAAAGCTTAGTTTTTTGCTTTCTCCTTTTTTTCATAAAAGAACCATTTTTACGATTGTTAGAAAATTTAATAAAAATACTTCAGAAGTCAATATTAGAAAAATCTACAATATACAATTCGATGCATCTTCATCTCCTTTTTCCAATGGTGAAGATCACACTTCTCTATCTTATTTGTATCAACAGTTATTCAAAAAATACTCAGTAGCATTCATAGAACCGTGACATATGCGAACAAAACAGATCTTATCGAAATTTCATTAATATGATATTAGCTGAAGTATGACCAAATAGCATAGAAAGATAGAGCTTTTTTTTCTCTATCAGACTATATAGAAAGAAAGTTTCTTTAAGTTCACCATACGGTATTAAAGTGTCACTCTCACTACTTTTGGTATGCCCTAAGTACAAAACGGAACAATAGTTTTTATAATATAGCCTTCTCTCCAAACTCTTCAGTAGAACTAAATCAAAAAGCGGATTGTACAGGCTTGTAGATATTGATGTGATGTATCTAATGATAAGCTTTATTGTCAATAGGAACTTCTCAAAGTTGGAACCAAAACAAACCTATCTTGATTGAGATATGTGTTTTAGTACGATAATGACATATTTTTGAAATACAGTCTAAAATAGTTGTTCCTTTAAAATGTGAATAACTGAACCAGGAAGCGTTCACTCTGGCTCAAATATGAAAGAATTTCTAGTAATAATATGGTATGTCTATGAAGAAAACATTAGCTTGAAATTTCGCTTATTCAGGTTCTCAGTGATCCTTTTCTCGTAGCTCAATCACTATCCAATGGCGATAGTTCCAAACAATAGAAGCAGTTTGATAGTTAGATATGTACTCGCATGATATTTACTTGAGTTATACCGTACTATCTTTTAGCAATTACAAGATAAATGATATGTGATTAATATCACATACTCATAATTAATAACTAATAGAGTAAAATGATTCAATATTTTACTGAAAAATAAATATAGTAAATGAGCATATTTATATTTACATTAAGACAGAATATTGTTTTGGCATAAGATTTAATTTCATCAGGTTTAGCTAATTTACTAACAATTAATAAATCTATAAGATCTTCTAATGCTATCATACCATAACGAATAAGTAATAATTGAAAATCAGCATGAAATAAAATTTGATGCTGTTGAAAATGTTTCATTAATGGTTTTTCAGCAATTGAACCATTTTCTTTAATTAATAATGATATATTATATGTTATATGTCGTATAAGATCTAATGAATTATTAGAATCAATTATATTAAGTTCACGTTTAAATTCAAGATAAATATCATTATTCCAACCACCTTGTTCAACTAATAAATGTAATTGATTTCGTGGTATTTTAGTTTGTATATAATTATGACGTAATGAACGTAAATTTAGTAATAATTCATTGTTTATATTTTTATCTATCATTAATAGTTTTTGATTATTTTCAATTAGAGATTTATGTTGTTTAACAAGACTATTATATGTTAAACGCGATGATATTTGTGTTGGTTTAGAAAATGATTGTATATTTTCATCCATTTTTAAAAGAGCATGATCAACTTTTCGTTGAACTTTTTCTTTTACTATTTTAGCATTTTTTATTTGATCACTTAATATATTTGTTTGAATAACTTGACGTCGACGCATATTTTGATTAAGTGCTAATTCAAATTGTATATTACTTAATTGTTTACGATCAAGTATATTAATTAAGAATTGTTCTTGAATGACAGTTTTATATTCACTTGATTGATTTTTAAGTATATCTTCATTAAGATACTAAATTAAAATCAACGATATACATGTTTTTTTTTTTCAATTTATTTAATAGAAAATTATTTACATCTTGTAGAAAAAAATCTTTCGCTGATTGAATTACTTGTTCAATAGTAAGAAAACCATGACGTAGAATATGTTTATAAATAATATTAAATTTTTCATTTTCAGTATTTGTTTGATATTGATTAAGAATTTCTCTTGTATGAATTTCATCAATATAACCTTCTTTTTGAATTAATTTAATCATCATATAAAAAAGAAATATAGCTTGAGCTTCAGGTGTAGTTACTTTTAATTCATAACATTGATTCATTGTATAATTATTAGCAAGAGATTGTGAAATAATTTTTGAACGACGTAATTCATTGACTATATCTCTGAATAGAATAATTTCTTCATTGTAATATTAATTCAAAAAGTTATTAGCGCAATCCTTTAGAAATTAAATCGAGAAACATGATGTAGTTTTCTCTTGTTAATCAAAGCAAGTTCATATATTATAATGAAACGTTTGAAAATCTTTTCTCGATAGTAGTAGCTAGCAAGATTCTAAAAATACATTTGTG